GCAACGGAGATAGTAACCTAAGGTATCCGTGAAGCCTTTGAGAACAGCTGTCTTGTCAAAACTAAGACCTCAACACGAAAAGTTCCTTGGTGGGACGCTAAGCTAAAGGCGCTTAGGGAGAAGACCTGGAATCTATTCAATAGGGCTAAAAAACCAAAGTGTGGGATATTTATAGTGCAACCCTAACCGAATATAATAAAGAAATTAGGAAAACCAAGGGAGCAGGAAGGAAGCTATGTGAGGAAGTTGAGTCTTTGCCTCGCAGTGCAAGACAACACAAAATGCTATCCAAAGCTAAACCTAATCAGATCAGACTTCCTAAAAAGCCCGAAGGTAACTTCACTACTAGTGAAATGGAAACATTTGAGTTACTATATAGCTGTACGAGCTGCTGTGCTGTACAATCTTAGAAGTTGATAAAATTGATAAAGACTTGAATTGATTATTTAATTTATTCTGATATTATTGATAGTGAGTACAATGCATGACGGCGAATGATTGCGTACGGAATTTATGAGATTGATTGATTGATGAGATGTTTGCGTGCAGAAATGTGCGGTTTGTAAAGACCATACACTAGCGTCAATCCATTTCCCAGGATCGCATGTGCGATTGGATTGATTGATGATGAGTTCTTGGGTGCAATCTGGATGCTGTCGAAGGTGGTGGTCCATCCTCTCAGTACAAAGGTACCAGTGACCGCACTTCGGGCATTCAGCCTCTATGTACACATAACCTTTCCTGTTTGTTGATATCAATGGATAAGGAGGGATGAGAGCCTGCCGGTATTTATTGAGAGCTACACATAATTTATATAAGTCGTAAGTATTTAGGGCGAATATAGGTAAGTTAAATACAATTACTATTTTATACCCCGAATAATAATAACCAGGTTTTATTATACCATAATATTCTCTAGGTTCTAATTCTAATATAATGTCCGATATATGACGCTTTCAGAGCCCTACGAAGGCCTTGCAATGAGAATAGATGTAGGGCTGCCAAGATAATAAGGCCAAACTGGGTGCGGTTGGCTGTTGACTTCTTTAAACCATATAAGCTCGAAGGATGGAATAATTCCCATCCAACTACAGAGGAGTATCGATATTCTTCCTTATCTGGTGAAAATCTTCAGAGTAAGTTTTGCATGGAGATATATTCCACAACGATGGACAATTGTCAAAGTTCTATTTATACCTAAGGCTGGTAGAAAGGACTACGTTTTATCAACTTTAGACCTATAAGCCTATCTTCTTTTCATCTTAAGACACTGGAAAAGGTTATACATAGATATATAAGGGATGTAGCTCTAGCTACAAGGCCCAACCAGCATGATTACCGCAGAGGCAAATCTAGCCCTGATCAGTGTTATTGACAGGGTCGAAAAACTACTGGACGATAAATAGCTCTTTGTGCCTTTCTAGATATTGAGGGCGCCTTCGACAGTAGCCCTACTTCACTGCTGAATAGGGGCCTGACATCGAAAAATGTTGATCCCACAACCATCAAGTGAGTGATGTCGATGCTCTCAAACAGAAAGGCAAAAATAGCGCTGTTTCAAACTTCGATTGAGGTTGCAACCACAAGAGGCTATCTACAAGGAAGTGTTTTGTCACCCTTTCTTTGTGCGGTTGACCAACTATTGTACAAGATGGCAGACCTTCGCACACTAAGTTATGCTAATGACCTTGTGATCATTGCGAGGGGCATATGCAATAAAGTAAGTCTTGTAGTCAATAAAGTAAGTAAAGTCTTGGAAAGAATATAGTAGGAAGTATTTTGAATTTATTTACATTCTCAAAGTATCTCATGTATTCTCTACACTGACGTAACCTGCAGAAAATCGGTGCCACAATTTAAATTATTCGGTAGACACTATTATTTTACACAAATTATAGTCTGTTCCCTTAGATACGGTTGTATTTGTGTAGCACAGCTTTGGCAAGTGCCGCATGTTGCCAAAGGCGCCCACAGGAGAATTTGACATTTTAAAATGAATCGCAGCGCCGTAGTGAAAGGTTCTTTGCAACGTAGTGAGCTACATGTTGAGTAGCATGTTGCGGAAATTTAGATAATAAACAAGATGCTACGCATGATAATGTTGATAACAAGAAAACTCAAATCACGACTGTAGATTATATTTATCACCTCACAAATATAAATAATTAAACATTGCATGGAAAGGAAAAGACTACGCTGTTTACACTTTGGTTTCTTTATTTATTTATAAATAAAAATCTTTCGTCTGAACACACCCCAAAAATACATAAATAATAAGTTGTATGTTTATAATAAATTAATTTGGTCCCAAAATAAATATTAAAATAATTTATGGGAAAAATAACTAAAAAAAAAATCAACAATATTATATAAGTAATCGTCAATTTTGGCAATTTTTAGTGGATTCACATACCCCTACTTATATATTAATATTAAATCTTAATTGAAAATAAATATCCTAAATGTACAAGGTACATTCAGTCGTACAATGGTTTCAAACACTTAGTTTCCTCGTTCTGTCCATTTCGAGACTATATATACACGGTAAAATTAGCTACGGAACCAAGCACACACACAAAGATACACAGAGTACACTTAGATAGATGCTATTTACTTTTGCCTAAGGAAACTATAAAGCTTGTCTAAATTATCGAAAATCGCACACAGGTTGACTGTAATGAGAGCATCTGTTACTGGAATGTAAAATAAACAATAAAAAAATCAGAACTGATATTTAAGTAGATCTATTGCATAAATATAAAATACTGAATGTAGGGTGAATATATTCACATTCTGGTATACTTATATGATGAGATCACCTTATTTAATGAATGTTCTTTATTACATATTATAATCATAAAGTATAACTATTAGCAATCGTAAGTTTTCGGTTACATTAATACTAAGTACATTTTGTGCAATACCAGTAATATAAATAAATGCCAAAGATACATACTTTAATCGGTTTGTTATTGATTTCACATGAATCGTATTAATAATATTTAATATATCAATATAAAGATTAGCTATTACATACATAAACATAAAGTATTACCTAATCATTTCAAAACTTCTAGGAAAATGCTAAAGTAAGTCAGTAGATTTCAGCTTATATTGATCTTATGACTAGATTGAGCCAGTAATTCCAAACAGTCAAATATCTCGTATTAATAATCTCTAAGAAAAACTGACACAATAAATACGAAATGTAGGAACGACGAAGAACAATAGCATTAAATACGTAAAGTCTGTAATGGCTCCGAGCAATGTTTCAATAAGTGATTTGGTCAGTTTCAATCCACTTACAGTAATTCTTAATTTCGATTAAAATATTCGTTTCTCCGTTCGAAGCTGCACTAACCATTCTAAATTATTAGCTACAGGTCAGATGGCACTTTCTAGGCTATCAGACACAGCTATATTATATCCTACCATCAGGGCGTTGTTTACGTTCAATCATGGACAATTTTAGGATGTACAAAAGTCCAAAATACAGAAAGCCATATTACACAACTAAAGGAAATAATCTCCAATACTACAAACAAAACGTGGCTTAATCCATTAAAATGTATTCTTAAAATAATTCAAATTAATAACACTTAGTTACTGCAGGTACATTTTATAATATTTCATTTGTTAACAAGTATGTAGTTGACAAATATTGCTTAAAAAATAATTCTAACAAAATTCGGTGACCAGATTAGCCTCTTTACACATGACTATAAACAATAAGAACTCATCGACAGATATCAACTTACATAATGTTGCGAATAGTAAACATTTCTTCAAAGTAGGTATAGATTATATAGGTAATAGATTTTTTTTTACAGAAATGAAAATAAATAACTTTATAAAATGAATAAAATAACAGATTACATAGAGAATATAAGTTTTTGAAAAGGTGCCTATGACTAATTTTAAACAAAATAGCAAGAAAAAAATTTAGATCAAAGAAAGTTTTAGTGCCCGGTGAAGATCAGTAAACTGAGGTTACAATTGGCCGGTTATGTAGCTTAAAGAATCGACAACTGGAGAGGAAATGTTTTCTAGTGACAGCCTCTTACCGTTAAGAGAAGTGTAGGTCAGCCCTTCGCTAAATGGAGTAAGGTCCTAGTAAGAGACGCTGGATGTCCAGGAGTGCTGGTGGCTCAGGAGTGTGTTTACAGTGGACTTGTTATGGGCTGTGATGATGATGATGATGAATATGATAAAGTAAATTCGTTCATTAATATCTGTACAATGATTTAACTAATCGTTTAAAATCGTTTAAAATAAGAGGTGTCAAGTTAATCTGCACATTATTTTTTATTCAACAAGTACTTTACAGTTATTCAGATCATCCTAATAACTTGTTTTTTTTTTTATTTATTTATTAAAAAGAGGTTACACACACTTTTGAAAGAATAATTATTTTAGTTAAACTTCTAACATGCATTTCCCATGTATGTGTTAAATGATAGATCTTCATTTAAAAATCTTAAAAGATTTACGTAAACCATGTCAGTGCAAACTGTTTCTTTGGTGCGTACTAGCGCTTTTGGACCATTTTTATTTAATGGTATATCGGGACACAAAGTTTGACCAACTGGTGTTTTATATATTGTACCTACAACATTTGATCTATATATTATTTATTTTTATTTAAAATGACAACACCACCTTAATATGGTTCTGTAATGGTTTGATGTAATTAAAAAAACAGGTCTATGCTTGCGACAGTTGTCGTCTGATTGACATCCAAATCAAAGAGGTTAGTATTGGTTATCCTAATGTCGCGGTCACACACATTGACTTATGTACGGGTGCTAGAGCTTGGTGAAACTTGAAATGTATGGCTACTGGCGTGACGCCAGACACAATGTGTCTTCATTCCCCTTCGATTTTATTTTTAAAATAAAAATAAAAAGATTTAGCGTGTCCACATTCACGTTAATTTGTCAAGTAACACATGACTATGCGGTATAATACGTGGATAGTGTGTGTAGGGTGCGACTGCGTTCCTACTTCTTCTTGGCCTTCTTCTCGGCCTTCTTGAGCGCCTTGAGGTGCTTGTCGTGCGCGGCGCGCAGCTCCTTGAGGCGGCGCTTCATGCGGCGGCGCTGGTCGGCCGGCAGCCCCAGCAGCTTGAGGTCGGCCGAGCCCAGCGCCAGCAGCAGCGCGCCGTCCACGCCGCGCGCCGCGAACGCGCCTGCGTGCCGCTCCAGGCCCTCGCCCAGCCCCGACACCCACTGCCACCCCTGCACAAGGCCACACCTCACTACAACCCCGCCCACATTCATCATAACATCACGTACAACCTATTAAAAGTCCACAGATTGCCATAGGGCAGATTTTTGTCGTAGTTGACCACGCTTGCCAGGCGAATTGAAACAGTTTTTATTACTTATATTTAACAACTTATTGTAAGTTGTTCAATAGTTGCTCGTTGGTCTAGTGGTCGTGAACGCGATTCCTGATCATGAGATCCCGGGTCGAATCCTGGGTAGGAACGAAATCGGTTTACTATCATTTTTTTTATTAGTAGCCCGGTGTTCCCTACACATTGGCGGTGCTTCACGATATGCCTCGGAAAACATATAGCCGTTGGTCCTGCGCTGCGTTGGTTGCGTCCTGCGTAATTTCTCTCCGATCATATCGATTTCCATCCCATCGAACTTTATGGACATCGAAAGTGAGGGAATAGAGAGCGCACCTATGGACATACACTCAGGCACGTCACCGTTGAGACTGGCCGTTGTGGCCGATTTTCAGTGGGGGGGGGGATACTTACCATAATTACCTTGTTCTCTTGGTAACTTTCTTTTTAATGTGATAGCCACAGGAGCTAAATCACATGGAAAGTAGCTATTGTAGCAGGAACAACTAGGTACAATAAACTTAAAACGCGTGTCATCCTGGTGTCTTAACGAGAATGTCTCAGTTTGATTTTATAGCTTTAATTTACTGCTTGTCTTTTCTGGCTGTTTATAGCAGTTGAGGCACGCACAAGGACTGCAAAACTACATCCAAAAGCAAAAACATTGTTTTTGCATAAATGTGAATTCCAGCTAGGATTCGAACACATCACTTTACATAAAATGTATAAACGTTGAGATTGTTATTGTCGGCTAGCAATCAAAATAACATACGCCTTCCCCAAAGAAAAACCTCTGTACTGCCGGGTAGTAGTGGCGTAAGGATTTTGTAAATAGTTAATAAATAAAACATATAAACTCATTGAGGGTATTAGAAAAATGTACTGTGAACCTTTTGGAGGCAAAAGATGGAAAATATCTTCCTGGAGCGGTACCTTAGAAAATAAAAAATACGATTGTCAAGCACCGTATACCAAGCGTAGCAAATACGACGGATACACACGCGACGGCCGATAGCGGTTGCCGCTGATGTCACGACTGCCACGGCACCTCGTGTCCGCCCGCGCTACACACAGTACCTGCTGTTTGCTCCACTGGCTGACGGAGTGCGCGCTGGGGGGCGGGCAGCGGCGACAGGCTGGCCTCGGACGCGGCGGCCGACAGCGGCTGCCACGGCACCTCGTGTCCGGCCGCGCTACACACAGTACCTGCTGCTTGCTCCACTGGCTGACGGAGTGCGCGCTGGGGGCGGGCAGCGGCGACAGGCTGGCCTCGGACGCGGCGGCCGACAGCGGCTGCCACGGCACCTCGTGTCCGGCCGCGCTACACACAGTACCTGCTGCTTGCTCCACTGGCTGACGGAGTGCGCGCTGGGGGCGGGCAGCGGCGACAGGCTGGCCTCGGACGCGGCGGCCGACAGCGGCTGCCACGGCACCTCGTGTCCGGCCGCGCTACACACAGTACCTGCTGCTTGCTCCACTGGCTGACGGAGTGCGCGCTGGGGGCGGGCAGCGGCGACAGGCTGGCCTCGGACGCGGCGGCCGACAGCGGCTGCCACGGCACCTCGTGTCCGGCCGCGCTACACACAGTACCTGCTGCTTGCTCCACTGGCTGACGGAGTGCGCGCTGGGGGCGGGCAGCGTCGACAGGCTGGCCTCGGACGCGGCGGCCGACAGCGGCTGCCACGGCACCTCGTGTCCGGTCGCGCTACACACAGTACCTGCTGCTTGCTCCACTGGCTGACGGAGTGCGCGCTGGGGGCGGGCAGCGGCGACAGGCTGGCCTCGGACGCGGCAGCCGACAGCGGCTGCCACGGCACCTCGTGTCCGGCCGCGCTACACACAGTACCTGCTGCTTGCTCCACTGGCTGACGGAGTGCGCGCTAGGGGGGGGCAGCGGCGACAGGCTGGCCTCGGACGAGGCGGCCGACAGCGGCTGCGACGGCACCTCGTGTCCGGCCGCGCTACACACAGTACCTGCTGCTTGCTCCACTGGCTGACGGAGTGCGCGCTGGGGGCGGGCAGCGGCGACAGGTTGGCCTCGGACGAGGCGGCTGACAGCGGCTGCTACGGCACCTCGTGTCCGGCCGCGCTACACACAGTACCTGCTGCTTGCTCCACTGGCTGACGGAGTGCGCGCTGGGGGCGGGCAGCGGTGACAGGCTGGCCTCGGACGCGGCGGCTGACAGCGGCTGCCACGGAACCTCGCCGCCGACTACACAAGCCGGAGCTTTCTTCACTACAACCACACCCGCAGCCTTCACTCGCCGTCCGCCCTCTCTCAATGTCACCCGACACACACTATTGGCTTGCTCTTGGTCGGGCATACTTTTAGTTACCTGATTTTGTATTCCAAAATATTCTCACCACAAAACTTAGAATGTCAGCTTAGTTAGCTCAAATCAAAAATCCTCACCAAAATTTGCCCAACCTAAACATCATAATGTGTGTCGAGTCTATAATATTCATTGGCAATGGATAAAGTCAATTAATTTAAATTCATTTGTAAATTTTAAAGATATAAATAAATACTTCAAATTATATTATTGAGCTTGTTATTGTCACTCATACGCAAAAACTTAATTAATGGGTTTTATTATATTTATTTTAAATGCCACTAATAGATACATGTTATACGATTTACATCCAATAAAGATTATTAAAGTAATACAAAAAAGGACGGTAACACACCACCAGCCAGTATTTTAAAATTTTAAACTTCAACATTTTAAGACAAATTTCCGATTTTTATTATGTTATTCCATTGCCAATGTTAGTAAAGTAAAATGAACCGAAAGTTACTGAGCAAGTGAAAACAGGTGTTACAAATATTATGTGTAATTAAAATATCATGCACATTCTGTAATAGATACATGAAGTAAAGTAATAACCTATATATAATATACATCCCACGGCTGGGCGTGGGATGTATACTAGCCTCTCTCAAGTTTGAGACGGTTATGGAACAGAAACCTATTTATATCAAATCCTGCTTCAAATTTTTGATAATCCTTTTTGGGTTAAAGCATATTAATGCGAAAGTAAAATTGCCTTGAATATTTACTTATTCAAATTAATGTTGTTATTATATTTATCTAGGTGAGAAACTTTACAATCATTATAATTAAAATAACTTAAAATTAAAAAAATAAATAGAATAAACTATTGTATCATCCACCACCCAAAACCCACCACAGATACAATAAAAAGCAAATATAAACACAACAGTTAAAAACCATTTGGGATTACACAGACATTGTGCTTCTGTTAAAAGGTAACATTATGAGATCCTAATGATCGGCGACAAATAAAGTTTTTCATTGACTGAAAACGTAAACCAACCATTAATTTGTTAATATATTTTTTTTTTTAATTTATTTTATGTACACACATTAAGGTACAGAAGCAGTCTTATAGTAATTACGTACAAAGGTTCTACTTATTCCAAATTCGCTGAAATATCTTCCAGTAGACCCATAAAGGAAATTATATTTAAATTGCAAACTTAGTGCATACATTAGTACTACAAAAAATAAATAATATACACAATGTTACGGAAATTATATAAAATAAAACAATAAATAAAAATAAAATAAATCAATAAATAATAATAGTAATTGATACGATAGTTACATATGATATATATATATATATATATATATATATATATATATATATATATATAAATTAACAGGATGCAAAGTAGTTATCTCTAAGACGTTTCTTGAATATCAACAAAGTTTCGGAATTTCTTATATTTGACGGTAGTAAGTTCCATAATCTTACAGCGTGAACTGAAAAGGAGTGGGAGTAATAACCGGAATTAAAGACGGGAAAGTCAAGAAGATTTTTAACAAGGGCTCTGCATGGTTTGTCCGGAGGATGGGTGAAGGAAAATCGGCTTCTGAGGTATGTGGGAGAGGAAGGGTTGTGCAAAATGTTATAGAGGAGACATAACAATCGAGTGTTCCTTCGAAGTCGAATTGGGAGCCACTTGAGTTGCTTACGAAACTGAGATATACGGTCAAATTTCTTGAGCCCAAATATGAAACGGATACACTGATTTTGCAAGCGCTCAAGTTTATTAAGAAGCTCCTCTGTAGCATCCAAATAACAGGCATCCGCATAATCAAGGAGAGGTAGGATAAGAGTAAGCACGAGTGAAATTTTAGCTTTAAGGGGTAAGAAATTTTGTAGACATTTAAGCGAATGCAAAGTAAAGTAGACCTTGCGACTAACTTCAACGATATGCGTGGTCCATGTTAAATGGTGATCAAATATGACGCCTAAGTTTTTGATAGTATTGGCAAAGGGTATAGGAACGCCATTAAAACAAACAAAAGGTAGTGATGTAAATTCTAATCTATTACGCAAATGCCTACTGCCTATTATGATGACCTGAGATTTCGTGGGATTAACTAATAGTCCGAAGGATGCAGACCATTCACAGATGCGGCCTAGATCCGCATTCATAGCTGCAATTGCATTATTTGTATCACCCACCAGAAAATGACGATAAAGCTGTAAGTCATCCGCGTAGAGATGGTAATTAGATGTAATAACACTCGTAATAGAGTTAATAAATATGGAAAATAAAAGGGGGGAAAGAACGCCACCCTGAGGTACACCCGTAGTGATACCCGACCAATCGGATAGAGTGTCATTAACACGGACACAATGTGATCGACCACGAAGATATGAATCAAACCATGCGATGGCAGATGGGGAAATGTTTATAGATTCCAGGATCCGGAGAAGAATATCAAAGTCTACTGAGGTAAAAGCACTACTAAAGTCAAGCAAAACTAAAAGTGTAAGAGATTTATTGTCCATGGCCCAACGGATATCGTCGGTTACTTTAAGTAAAGCAGTGACAGTGCTGTGTCCACGACGAAAGCCCGACTGATAAGTGGAGAGCAAGGAGTTAGACGATAAGAAGAGAGAGAGTTGACTATGGATGATGTGTTCCAAAACTTTAGAAAGAAAGGGTAAAATAGATATGGGACGAAAGTGGGACAAAGAAGAAGGATTAGAAACCTTAGGCAGAGGAATTATATATGCTTGTTTCCAAACTGAAGGAAAAGATGATGACGATATAGAAAAATTAAATATATGAGTAAGAATTGGTAGAAGTAAAGGTAGAACTAGCAAAATCATCTTCGCACATAGACCATTAATACCAACAGCATTTGAAGAGATGGCTAGGATGGATTTTTTGACATCTTCCTCCGTTACAAGGGAAAGATGAAAAGGGCAAACGTGCGGTTTCGGTATACCCGCCAATGCGAGTAGTGTGTTGGATTTGATGTAAGGATCTAAAGTCATAGGAGGAGTAGCAAAGTGATTGTTTAGATCCTTTACTTTAACGTCATTGTATTCTAGGATCGGAGACCTGCCCACACCAACAGAACGAAGGAACTTCCACATCTCAGTAGAATTTTTATTGTGTAGAGAGTTGTAAAAGTAGCGTCTTTTAGCATACCGACACAAGCGACTGCAGCGGTTGCGTAAAAATTTAAAACGATTTAAGTTATTTTCAGATGGGAGACGTTTAAACCTTTGCTTAGCTTTGTCCCTCTGGCCCATAAGTTCTCTTATATCTTGTGTAATCCAAGGTGCAGGATTACGCTTTATTTTTACGCGTTTGAGCGGGGCATGGTTATTGTATACCTTCAAAATTATATCATTAAAATTACAAACCTTCTCATTAATATTAGTATTGTCAACAATAGGTGTCCAATCAACATTACTTATATCATGCTGCAATGACTCCAGATCTATTGCCTTGTAATTACGAAGGAACAACCAATCTTCTTAACTAATGTTGCAATAAAAGTTTTTTTTCTTTCGATTCTTTCTTTCTAATTTAAAATTAATTTTCTAACATACTATATAGTATTTTTTATCTGTATATCAATAAATTTTACGCCTTTTTTAATTAAGTTTGTTGTTAAGTTGTCTTAATCGCTGCCTATCCTATATAAAATTAAATTTATTGATTGCTTAAGTAATGGAATATCTATTGCTTTTAAATACCTTTTGTATATTATAAGAGCTTGACGTAAAACACATGATCCTATTAGAAAAAAAGTGATTAAAATAATGCATTACAATTTAACGAGCCTAATAGTATGTAGAAAACACGAAATAAATTAAATCAAATGACAAATTAAAAGATCACACTATAGCCCGGTCGCAGAGCACAAAGAATTTCATTTTAGAATCTTACAGTCAATGCTACATCATTGACTTTGCTTGCATATATGAGATGACCACCATGTTAAAATATTTAAATCCTTTTGTCTATACCAATAAGGTTAGTCCTAGAGTACGTGTTCTTTTTTTATAAAACCGAAATGACAAACGAACTTAAGAGGATACCTTGAAAATGAATCGTCTTTTGGGGGCGTGGCTTATTCTTTTGTCGGCGAAGCTCACGGACGACTGAGGGAGTGTCAAAATGAAAGTGATACAATCACCTCATAATACGCAATTTATGAGATAGCTATACCGAGCACTCACTCGGAAAAAATCTAAGTAAGCGCCAAACAACATTTTTTTTAACAAAACTTCGTTATGGATTAAAAAATGGTTTATGAGAACTTAGTTTTTTTTTTTAATTTATTTATATCATTATAGTAAATACATGAGTTAAATGTAATTAACTTGCAAAAACCGTGAGGTTTGTCCGCAAGTTACAGTCTCACACAATTAAAGGTATAGTACAATCACATACATTATACAAACTATTAATACAATCATCTAATTGATGGCTGCTTATAAACAGTAACAATAATATTAAGTATATACGTACATATTTTTAAGTGATAAATTTCAAATCACCGTAATTGCAAATCACCGGCGTTCTGGACGGGCCGTGTTGACAGAAAAACCGGTTTCTGTGAGCCCACGAATGTGAGCGTGACAATTTGATCGTTCTTATCGGGCGATCGGATTATTTAGTTGCAGAAGCAGTATACAGGTTGGTGCAAAAACTGTGAATTGATCTTTTTTTTATCATTATTTATAGTTTTTCATTTTTGAATCTATAAATATAAGAGATATATGTACATATATTTATAAATTTAGAACAATTAATTGATGATTTTATAAGTATATTATATAATTTTGTATTTAATATTTATTTACTCCCGTTGTAGCTGTTCATAGAAATATTTTTTGAATTTGTTTTTGTAGTTATCTTCATTGATATCTGAGAGTATCGTGGGGGGTATTTGTTTCATTAAAGTAGGAATTAAATATCTATTTGTACGTTTACCATAGTAGTTATATATTTTAGGTGTTACGAGTTTATTTTGTATAACTTTTCTTGTAATAGTTTTATGGTTAGTTTTAACTTGCACTTTTTTATTGTGAAATTGTTCTATTAGTATTAGCATCTGAAATTTTGTGTGTATAGGTAATACTTTGCAAAATTTAAATATTCCATTAATATTGTTTTCACTGTATATTTTTGTTTTTACTTTCTTAGGTATAATCATTTTCAATATTCTGATTTGTAGATTATATATTTTATCTAAGTATGTTTTAAATGTTTTTCCATAACTTGTAATGCCATAAGAAATAAGAGACTCAGCAAGAGCGTTATACAGATTTATAAGGATGGGAAATGGCATTTTGTATTTTAGTATTGCAAACTTTGCTAGCATAGCCCGTAGCTTGTTACATACATGCTCAACGTGTTTACCCCAATTGAATCTTTCATCCACAATCAGACCTAGGTATTTATAAGTGTTAACTTGTTCTAGAGGATTACAATTACAGTTAGTATTTAATTTAGACGAACTATGAAGGCAGTCGTGGCTGTGTGCTAGTATTTTTATTGGTCTTTCGTATTTGTTAGAGTGCATCGAACGTACATGTATAATTTTAGTTTTAGCAGAATTTAATACGAGTCCCGCGTCATGTGACCACATACAGAGGTTAGTAAAGTCATGTTGTAACATTTTTTCTGCTTTTGCTAGGCAATTACTAGGCAAGTATCGTCTGCATATTGATACACTGAACTATGTTTAATCACATTCCCCATATCATTTACAAAGGCCAAATAGTGTAAAGGGCCAATAACCGATCCCTGAGCGGTTCCCGTAGTTACAGGTATTTCATCACTGTAATCTTTTTCAATTCTCACCCGGTATTTTCTATCTTTGAGGTAATTTTCACACCACCTGAGTAAAGGCCCGCGTATGCCTGTATTTTCCAGTTTTTGTATTAATAAATCGTGTTTCAGAGTATCAAATGCTTTGCTGTAGTCAATAAATAAAAGAATTATGTGTTGTTTGTTGTCTAAATAAGTATTAATTTCATCGGTAAATTTTGATAACAAAGAAGTAGTTGAATTATTTTTTTGAAAGCCAAACTGGGTGCTGGACAGAACGTCATTCGATATATAATATTTATGTATCTGACTACATATATATTTTTCAACTATTTTATCTATTACAGGAAGTATTGTAATTGGCCTAAAATTGTCATAATCACAGTGCGACCCCTTTTTGTAGATGGGTCTCACTATTCCTACCTTTAATTCTGAGGGATAAATACCAGAATGAACACTAGTATTAATCAACTTTGCAATTGCTGTTGTGATTTTTTCACATAAGGATTTTATGTCTATACAGCGAATCTGGTCTGTTCCAGCGGATTTGTTTGTGTTCAATTTCTGGATTATTTTATTTATGCTCTTGCCATCTGCTGCTTTAAACCGCATTGAATTATTCTGAGGAAATACTCTGCTTGATCTAAAAGGTTTTGTTTACAGTTGGGTAGTATTTTTTCAACATTTTTAACAAAATCTTTACCAAAATTATTTGCCAATTGTTTAGCTGTTAATTTGTTTTTTTGAAAAGCCTTTAATATCGCCGCATCTAATGATTTATTTACTCTGCCTGTGATGGAATTCAGAATATTCCATAGCTTCCTTGGGTTATTTCTGTTATTATTTATTTCGTGATAATAGTATTTGTTTCGAGACATTTCAATAAGTTTATGTGTTTTATTCCTAATTTTATTAAACTCTAGTCTTAGTATTTTATCAGTTGTATCTTTTTTCCACTTGTTATATAGGTAGTCTCTTTTTTCGCAGTAAAATTTTATCTTATTATTTATCCATCTTTCCTTATTTCTTTTACTATTTATGCTATTCTTTGTAGTATATTTAGAATTATAATAACAGTATTATAACAGTATGAGTTATGATTATTTACTATGCTTTACGAATAAATTCTATGAATATATTCGTAAAAATATTGCGGTGTCACGAAGAAATGTAACTAATTAGAGCCTACTTTGCAATTTTTTTCTATAGAGAAAATTATATGATACCTATCGTGTTTTCCTTTTATGCAATCCAAGGTATTATTATACTAAAATATTGGTTTGTAATCTATAAAACTTAAAAAATATGTGAAATAGAAAAACCACCAAATTTTTGAGATATCACCTTAATATAGTCTACCTGATGTTAAGTGGATACTGCAGTCAGGCCGGAATACCACAGTGTAAGCACCACTATTTAGCGGCGGAAGTAAGTAAGAGGGTACCTAGCCTACCAAGGCGGACTCACAGGCAGAAAAGGAGTCGTACCAACACATTACACTTCAATTTAAATTAAAGTTTCAACAATATTCCGTATTGTTCGCGTCCGTGGTTTAAACAGTTTTTGAGGTCAAGATTGTTGTCACAGAAATCGTAATAATAAGATAACAGAAGTCGCATAGACGCGTGACTTTGTCGCCGCTTATATGGTTTGATGAACATAATTCACCATTTTGTGATGTAGTTGTGCGGGGAACGTCGTACGTAAATTTTTGTTATTATAAATTTATAATGGTGCACTGCAGCATAATCAGTTGTAAAAACTCATCAAGAACGTGTAAATAAACTAATAAAGGCATAACATTTCATCAGTAAGTTGATTATTTACTAATTATCATTGTTTTAATTAATTTACATCTAGATGAATACTTTACTATGAGATTTACCTTTGCAAACTCATTCATTACTTTTCGTATTGTACAATTACCATTGCTGCTTTTGTTCTACCATAAACGCGACGTTGACAAACTCGCCAAGCAATGTAATGTGAAACATTAGATATCATTGTGCATTGCGTATGTTTATAATACGGTAAGAGGTGGCGACATCGGTTTTTGAAGTAATCGAGCGCTATTTCATTTCGTTGTTGAGTTTGTTGAGTTCCTTGAGTTGTTGTATTCCATGTTTTGTTATGACTAAGTTTTTTGTTGTTTTTGTAGTTATTACTGTTATGAAAGAATTCCAAATGGAATCAGTATCGGCTATCTAACTCCGTTCAAGTCTTTCTATCTATCTCCGCGGAAGAAATGAAAAAGTATCACTTTACAAAATGCTAATGCGTTGTCACCCATGAGGACTAAGATAGAATGCATCTTTTCCAGTAATAAGGGTCTCCGGTTCTCTACACTCATCATACGCAACACAGCAGCATTAAGCTGCTATTTTACGGGTATGTATTCTGTGAGAGCAGTCCTACCTTAGTCGAGCCGACCCATTCTTGCTTCAACTATAATATTTTTTTGACACATGTTTTTCTTTCAGTTCTAATTTTTTTTTAAAGAATATTAACAATGCTATAAACATTACTAATATTCCCCACTCGTGGTAAGCTTAAATTGCTTGTGTTACGAGTGGTTCACGCCAGTAGTCGAATGGGGGATTCGAACCCACGACCTTTTCGAGTTCGCGGTCCGCGCCCTGCCATTAGGCTACTGTCGCTTATGAACTTTATTCATTATAAAAATATAAGTCAAACGAGTATGTATCAATAGAAACCACAAAAGATGATGAAGCAAGTGACAACAATTTCAAGTTACACATACATTATTATGCGATCCAAATGAGAATAAAAACGTCAATGACTTCGAATGGCCGCGATTGTCACTTGAAAAGTACGGCTTGCAATCAAAAATAAATAAATATTTTCATTTTATCAATTCTCTGAATCCAATAAAACCTCTTAGTTATTCGGCCAAATAGTAGCTAGATATTTGGTATTCGACTGAATAGGATAAAAATAGGTGAATAGGTCGAATACCGAACAATAGCCGAATATTGGTTGCAAGTCTAATTAGGTTCCGATTAGAATTGTTTCTTTCATGGTTCTTTTGTTGAAGTTACAGCATATATAATTTGTCCCATTGCTGGGCACAGGCCTCATCTGACTTTCCTTTTGTATTTATTTGTAAATAAATATTATTTCAAAAATATTTGTTTTGCTCACCTTATTTAACTGGTTTAACTTGACAGCTAAGACGTCACATCCTTATTTACTATTGAGTTGCTATTGTGTATATCTAAGTATCTAAGTATTATTAAACAAATATATTAAAATTTTTATTTAATTTCTTTGACGATTACTTCGCAGTACTTTACAGGTCCGCAACGTTCTAAAAACTTTTTAACTACTGACACTAAGTATAGAGGTCATTGTACGAAAATCTTCGTGACTTTAGCTTCCTTTTTCTTTATATCTACTAAACGACGTCGTTAAAATGACAATGAGTATCATTTACAGTGTGTAGTGTCAGTATGAAGTGGGTGTAGGTAGAGGTGTGCGTATACGCACCTCTTGCGTTGGCCTCGCTGACGGCCTGGCGTATCTCGTCGACGAGCTCGTTAGTGAGCTGCACGGGGTCGGGATGCGGCGAGGCGCGCGCCGTGTGGGGCGCGTGTGCGGCGTGCGCCACGTGCGCCGCGGGCGCGGGCGCGGGCTCGGGCGCGCCGGCCAGACGGCGCTCGCGCTCGGCCAGAACCTGCTTCAGCTGCTCGGCCAGCGACGCCGGCGGACCTAGCCGGATCGCACCACTCACTATTGCTACTGTCTCATTGTACGAGTTTTGACGGCTCCGTGGCGCATTGGCTTAGCAATGAGTTACAGCGCTAAGGGCCGCGGGTTCGAACCCCCACGGCACAAGTATTTGTTCCGGGTCTGGATATTTGTCCTTGTGAAATTTTTTGTTTGTAAACTGCCCCCACGATACAGGAGTAAATCCTAGTGTGGAGGTAACGTTTTTTAAAAAGAAAAAACAAAGACTTTTCTTTATGTATGGACGTTTTAATGATGTTGTTATTAGCTTCCTAGTAATTTGTTGTACTGTCCTATCAATGCTAAACTAGTACCTTATATACTTAGTTGACCTATAATCTATTCCTATTTTATTTTATATTTAACGCCAAGCTAACATTTACCTTTTCTTTTTTCTTAAACAAATCTTCATTAAATTTAAAAAGGATCAAATTGTATTTACTTTAAACCGATGACTATGGTCACCAATTTAAATAAACCCCAATTCAGGCATTCTCTTACTATGAAATACTACTACTAGAATATATAAATCCCGAAAGCTTTTTGCATGATGTATAATATGTTACACTAAGCAATATTAATCACAAACAATAACATGCCACATCTCATTCACAAATTCTGTTTAATTTTTACACTGGCCCAAAGCGTACACTTTACAAAAAAACTTTCAAAGATATTTTGCGTACGTTGTGAACAAGATTTAAGCGCTTTAGATCGTACATATAAATATTTGAAGCTTCAACACTGCGTGTAAATTGTTATGACCGCTCAATTGATCATGGACATGGTTGATGGTGTGATGTGTTTCCACGGTACCTGAGAGCGGGTGATGCCTGTGGTCACGTGAGTACACCGCATCATCCGTCGTGCTTCCTATGGAGCTGCCGCAACTCTGTCGTGTGTCGCGCTGGTTAACAAAACCGTAAATTATATTTTTTTCTCTAAAAATATATATATCAACATTTAAAATTACATATTCTAGCACCTTGTAGTACCCAAATACATTTTAAAATATTTTTTTTTATATTTCATTAAAATGACAAACGAGCAACAATTCACCTAATAGTAAATGCCTCAAAGAACTTTAAAAAAGACTACAGATGTAAATACTTCTGAGGTAAAGTAAAAAGTTATTAGTCTGTATCCACCTTAAAGATACAAAATGACAAGAAGGACTACAAATTATTTCTATACGAATCATATTATGTAACCTGCATCTAAATTATCAAGTCGTAAAATGAGTAACTGTGTGTAAGAATCAATACTTAAATTACTGAGTAATTCTCGAGATTGAAGCGTTTTAATAAGTCACCGTTTCTATTTAAAAGATTTTAACACATTATAGATATAAAAATCTAGATTAATTTAGTAGCGGATAGTCATCAAAATCAAAAGGCTTTAATAAAATTGGTTACTTCAGTTCTATATGTTTGCACAGTTGTTTTTGTTTCTTACTTAATCATGCAGTTAAACGTATCTATAGAAAATAATGAACCTATGGACCATGCCTTGGACTTGAATTAATTTATGGAATACTTTTTTAAGCATAAACTAGTATTTCATAAAGAACTTACCGTTGTATGGGAATGAGGCGGCCCCGAAGTCGATTCGCTTAAAGATTCATCTGCGGAATCATTGTAGGAGTCGTCTAGTCCATCGTACTGTATAACATATACACTGTATAACATATACTGCGTAACAATAAAAAAGAATTACATTTCCATACTAAAATCGCCCGTATATGAAAATATTTAAGTAAATGTGACTATGATAAATGCGAAAATTTAATAACTCCATTTGAATAACTTTATGTGCAGTGCAACAAACAGGCTACTCACTCAC